GTATTACTGCATTATAAATATCCACAAATATTAAAGGGATCCTTATTGTAAAGTGTAAAACTACACTATTTTGGATGGGGTGGGATTATTTGGTATATTAACATGACATACTTTTTGATAAATCATCATTGTTGACAGTAATTACATGTTTGAACAATAGTTTCAACTATTGATAATCAACACTAAGTTTTATATATAGTGATTTTTCMCATTAAAGACTAACTTTTGGCATTTACAAAAGTTTATTTGTCATTAATGAATAGGTACTGTGTTACACTTTATAAGTCTTCCTTTGATAGTTGTGAATATTTATAAGGCAGTAATACACTACAATATAAATAAATTAAAATATGTGTTTCTTATCTGTGCTTACAATGTAGTGACCTAGTGTGAAATGTTTAATATAGCATCTTTAGGTAAGTGAATAGATTTGTCTCATTATTTGGTAAGAAACATGGCAGTTTTGTGATTCTCGTCCTTAACTATTGCATAATAAACATTTATTAATGATTTATAAAGTGTTTACAGATGAATTAATAACCTGTCTATAAACTCTTTATAAGCCATCTATAAGGGGAGCCTTATTGTAAAGTGGTACTGTTWTCTCTGTTGCTCAGATGTCAGGTTGGAGCAAAGATAATGTTTTAACACAGGGTTCATGCTTGTTTTCCTCATTTGTTTCTAAGATCTATAAAAATTTCCTGTTTGTTGATGTTCATGAATCTGTACACACTTGCATCATACATGCAAATACAAACAACCACTGCAGGGAACCAGCCTGCCACAACTATGTGATGCAAAAACATTAAAAAGCTACAAAAACTAAAAATATGCTTCCAAAATGCAAAGACATCTAGATAAATCTGGGCTGTCAGCATCAGAGTTTACATCATCTCAAATGTGTTTTAAGAAATAGTTCACTCACATGAACACAACACAGTGGCGTTATAAACAAATAGTTTGGTTAAAAATGTGCAGAGGGCTCATAGAAATAAGGCTTTAAACAATTACAGGATAATAATAAAATGTTTTTGCACCTTGAGCAAATTCTAAATGACACTCCAGTGAGAGCTCATCAGAAATCCTGCRGATAATGAAGTGACCTAATTCACTAGCTGACAGCAAACAGAATCCTCTGACTCAGACTTTAACTGGAGGCGAGGCAGCGCTTCCACACTTATCCTTAGGAGAAATGTCACGTTGCCTACCCATGATGGTGGCCTGCCAGCCGCCGCGATCCAAAGCCCGCCGCTCGTCCCCGAGGCCCGAAAAGCTCCCGAAAGAGAAGGTGCTGCGGGTGGGCGAGACGTCTAGGTGGTCCTCGTGCAGCAGGAAAGGCACCCCCATGCGACGCTGGCGTTTCTTTCCCGTGTGATGAAAGGGGATGGAGCCTTTTCTCTCCCGGTCCTCACGCCTGTTCTTAAACTGAAACAGAACAGGAAGACGCCTTCGTCTAATTTAGCATCAGTCCAACAAGTTGAGTTTTTTTTTAAAGAGTAGACGCCGACCTTTTTAAAGATGTTCATGCCCAGGTCAGAGGAGAGGTCAGGGACCGCCTGGCGACGCAAGTTAGTTAGAGAAACCTTGGCGAAGGTTTCTGTGCTCAGAGACTTCCCCTCTTCRTTACACTTCAGGCTCATGTCCTGCAGAACACAGTGAAGAGCACTTTCTAAAGACAAACAACCAACTACACAAACATTTGTTTTAATTAAATTAAGTCGATAAATCAGCATTGTAATTTTTATCCGTCATACTTTTTTAAATTTTCCTTCAGGGACAGCAATCAGTGCCATCTCTGCTTTTTACGCTCTCATGGAACTTTGTATCAAATGACAGGAAATGCTGGTTTTTCTTCACACAGTCATCATTTTATGGTTTCTGTTAAGGTTCTAGAGTTGCCTTCTTGTCTCACAAAGTCCATCCATCCATCCATCCATCCATCCATCCATCCATCCATCCTCTTCAGGTCACAGGGGCGGCAGCTTGAGTGGAGAGGCCCAAACCTCTTTCCCAGCCACCCTTTTCAGGAGTATTTYAAGGTGTTCCCAGGCCAGCTGAGAAACAAAGGGCCAATCCAAATACTCGCACTACATCCTACGCCCCTCTATGAAGCGTGTGCTCAGTTGATGTGCACATAAGGGTTTGAGTGCGCAGGTTACAAAACGTGTAAAAATTGGAAAACTAGGACAGTATGTGCTATGTCATCAACTTGCACCTCTGCGTCGTAACTGTGAAGAAAACGCGCAAACCGAAGGAGCCTTATACACCAGAGTGTAAGCTGCCTTCTAAAAGTTCTTTTTCTTAGATTTTATTGGTGGTTGGCAGACTAATTTAAGCACATTTCCGCCAACACTAGACTGGAAAGTGCAAACTGCTCTGGAGATTTGGGACACACCACGCACTAGAAGCCTTCAGAAGTACACAAGGGTGGAAGTGTGAGTATTGGAACTGGGCCATCGTCTCTCCAGGGTGTCCTGGGTCTTCCCCAGGGTCTCCTCCCAGTTAAACATGCCTGAAAAACCTCTCTARGGAGGTGTCAAGGGAGCGTCTTTACCACATGCCTAAACCACCTCAACTTGTTCCTCTCTCGGTGGAGGAGCAGCGGCTCTCAGATAACTCAATGCCTCCATCTTTCTCTGGGAGAGTTCAGATAACTTGTGGAGAAAACTCATTTTGCCTGCTTGTATCCATGATTTCGTCCTTTCAGCCACCACTCAGAGTGCGTGGCCATAGATGAGGGTAGGAACGTAGACTGAGAGAATTCCCTTACAGCTCAGCTCTTTTAACCAAAACACACAGAGAGTCTGCACTGCTGCTGAAGCAGCACCTGTCAGTTCTCTCGCATTGAACGTAGTCTGTGTCCTCGGGGGCGTCTGAACCCACATTTCAAAATTTTCTCTGTTCATTTCTGTAGTTTTAGAGGGCTGTTCAGAGCAGGGATTTTTTTTTGTAAGGTATGCTAACTCCTAGCAAATTTTGGTCCAAAGTTAGTCAAAAATTTCTAAACTTCCAAATGAAAATTTGCATATTTTCTTGTAATGTYTTGTCTGCAACTAGTCACCAACAGTTGCAGCCCAGTGAGATAATACAGCAGGTAAAATAAGTATTGAACACATCACCATTTTTCTCAGTAAATATATTACTAGAGGTGCTAATG